TTCGAAATGTTTGATGAACCAATCAGAACAAAGAATTTTATAAATTGACCAATTCAGAAATCTTTCTAAGCATTTGTAACACTAAGTGCATTACATCTCGAATTCAGAATTTACAACTATATACGTGAGACGAATTTTTTAATTTATTGAATGATAAATCGCATTGTGCGCAAATACCACTTTGTTTTGTTAAAATAGCATTTGTGTACAATGCATATAAACAATCGATATATTAAAAAACTCGCCTGTGTTATGCTAGGTTAGAATCCCGCGTAATTCAAATTATATAATATTATTGTAGTTGTTATTAACATAATAGTTGTTATATAATGTGCAACATTGCAGTTATGTTACTAATTTATAACAACAAATTTCTATAACACATAAATAACGGAATAGATATTTTATAGATATTTTATAATCAAGTTATATTGTATATATAAAATAAACGTAATATAACTATAATATAAATAGAACTATAATATAAATAAAAATAAGAAAGGAGAGTGTGCGTCACGGCGGGGCCCGACCACGAACCAGTCGTAAAAACTCGTAATTATTTGGCGAAAAAATACCACCTTAACCAGGAATCGAACCTGGATCTCCTGCTTACTATCGGACAGGCATCTTATCCTTTCGATTACCGAGGCATGTGATGATATTTATCGCAAAATAACGTGTTTAAAATAACACGTCAACAATACAATGATACACATATATACATGTATATTCTATCGAATCCCCACGACCAGTACTCCAGAGAGATGATGGTCCTAATCTCTCGATGAAAATAGAATATAACATCTGCTATATTACATGTTACTCCTGTGTTACATAGCATTTATATTCGGTGTTTGCTGGGAACTTTAAAATGGGAACGTCCCAGATGCGCATATTTTCAATCGGACACACCACTCACATTAGCCGATGCCTAGAAATTTTCTAGTGAGTCACCTATCAAAAATTTTTTTATTTAATCGACCAATCGGCAATATGTCCGATTGGAACTCACCCCTTTAAAATAAACTTAAAACTATTTCAAAACA